CCCTGCAGCCTGCGCAGGAACCTGCTCCGGAACCCCTGCGCCGAAGGTGCGTCCGCCGGGGGCGCCCCTGGCCCTGGGATGGGAGGCCACCCGGAGAGCCCGGCAGGCTGGGCCGATAAAAGAATCCCCGAAAGGGAGCGGGGCAGCCGCTTCCGCCCTCGTGCCCGGCAAAGCTGGCGCATTTGGGGCAGACCCGCCCGGTATTAGGATCCTGCAGCGTTTCCCTTTCGTCCGCAGAAGGCTTCGATCACTGGCTGAAAGAGTCCGACGAAGGCGACCGATGGAAAATCGAGGTGTTTCCCGGGGATCACGGGAGGAACTTTCCGCATCCACACGTCCAGAAATACTTTGTGACTTCTTACGAGTGAGCAGCGGGGCGCGGGGGGCACGGCCTTTTTGCCAGCTGGGGGATCCCTGGCTTTTTAAAGACCGGCCCCAGCTTTCTTCGGCCTTGGGGGAAGGGGCGAGCAACGGTGGGTCCCCCCAGCGCAGCTCCGAAACTCTGAATCCCTCCGCTCTTGCAGCGGGGCTGTCTGTGCCGTTGAGTATGCTCAATCGGCGGGGAGCTCACACTCCACGCGGAGGCCTGTAACCCCTGCGACTTTCTGCCCCCCACCAGCCTTTGCCTCAAGTGCCAGCTCGTCACCTTGAGGGATCACGGCTACTGGAACCAGTTGATGGATGAAGTCAAACCTGATATCGTGGTGAGCGACTGGTGAGTTCCGGGGAGGAATGGTCGAGGAAAGAGTGGGGAGCCAGGAGGGGATGCACTCCAGCGCGCTCAAGCAGCAGGCAGACCCTTGCCCACAACCAAGTTTTGTTTCTTGATCTAAAACAGACCTCTTGCCCTTCCAGGGCACCTAATTGGCACTAACGTACCGATGCCGGAAGGGATATTTTTATTGATCTCCTTTAAGATTTGGCATTCTCTCGCTCGGCCCTGTGCGTCTCCAGGTACGCGGCGCGTTATGACTGCGGCTGCCGGTACCAGATCTGCGTGCAGCTCCTGTCCAGAGATTACATCGTTCTGCACGAGTTTCTGCCCGAAGAGGTCGTGATCGAACAGTGGAGCGACGCAGAATGGCGCGAGGTGAGGAAGCGGGTCGGAGCGCGGGTCTTTCCTGCCCCCAACATGCAGCCCTCGGCATCCGCTTGGGGCCGAAATTACTGCTTAGGAAGTAAAACTTTGCCCTGTCCTAAGTAACGTGCCTGATGTGGTAGTTTCAGAGCAAACCAAAGTTGGACCTGACGGTTTCTAAAATTCTGTCCGTAATTCGAGGAATCGAATTAGTCTGAATCTTGTGACGGGATCTGAATCAGACCAATGCAACTTTTCACCCACCTCTTTCTTTCTCTCGCTTTTCCATTTCTCAGGTTTCGCACACTTTTCACAACTACCCTTCTGGGGTCCGTCACGTCTTATTTAAGCACGGAGGCCAAGACACCCAGTTCTGGGCTGGCTGGTACGGGGTCAGAGTGACCAACAGCAGCATCACGCTGGGCCCCCGAATGGCAGATTGACGGAGAATCGCTGCATCGGGGTGTGTGGCGAAGGAGAGAAGAAAGTCTGTTGTTTCCGACTCTTGCTTTCTTTCACGCAGTTCGTAAGGCTTCCTGCCTGCTTCTCGTGGGGTGGAAAAGATCACTTAGCACCATCAAGTTCAAGGGGAGAACCTGTTTTTCCAGTTGGTAACCACAACCTGGATTCTTATGGTGCTGATTGGTTGGACCCAGTTCCCCACCAGGCACACTGATTGGTTGTGCCTGGATATCAATTATGAACTTTTTCTGCTTATTTTTTTAGGATGTAGCCTTGCAAGGAGGGGGGGAAGGGGGGGCATCCACAGGCTGTTTATGTCCACTGTCCCACGGGTGTGTGCCTTTACATATCTGACCTAGAAACCAACCCAAGCTGAGCGTCTGGCTGTTAAATCAGCGGTCAGCAAGGAATTTGCTGCGTCTTGAATGGTTTTCAAGTAGATTGGGGAACTTTAGAGAGGTGGGTGTGGGTCTTAGGCAGGACAGTTGGAGTAGATGCTCCAGGCATAGTAAACGGGGCTGTCCTGGGGACTTTGTCCTCTCCAGCTGCGCACTTCTGCCATCTTGCCTCTGACTAGTGTGATGGACTACAACTCCCATCATGCCCAGTAGGTGGCTCTGGGGAAGGCTAGACCAGCACACTTGGAAGATGCAAGCTGGTCTTTTGGCTTGCAGGGGAAGGACATGTAGAGAAACCCCTGGCCTGAATTCCAGTCACCTCAAGGAGCCCGGGCAGATCTCCCCAAATGGTTTTCTCCACCTCAGAAAAGTAAATCCGTTGGAGAGACGCCATTGATTGTGAATAATGGTTATTTTTCCTTGCTTTTTCTGCAACGTTGCAATGTCTGGAAAGTTGTATAACTTTGATATTTGATAATAATAGTTAAAAAAAAAAATCTCTGCGTGGCTCCAAATCCCTGCTCTCGGCTTAGCAGCGGGGCCAAAGAGACGTGGAAGAGCACAGCATGAACACGAAGTTTATTTACAGGGGACTCTTCCTCAGTAGTTCTACATTAGCACCTTGGAACACAATGACCGACATTCACTTCAAATAACACGGATGGGGGTTTGCAGCCAGACAGTTACACGCTTGTTTTCACGGCAAAGAAACACGACCCCTGTCCAGGCACAGCTTTGTAACGCCCCCTCCCTCAGGTCCAGCGACTTGAAAAGGACACGGCTTGTGCATCGGCTGAAAAAGTGGGAACGGTCCGGCAGGATTTAAGAGCACTTTCGAGGCACGCCGCAGCCGGGAAGGGGCTGCGCGTGTGTCACCAGCCCAAGCACCAAGGTTGTCACAGCTTGGCAGTGCGTCGCCCGAGACGAGGGTCCGGGCTTCCGAAATCCACTGGGGCTGGCTGGCGCTCAGGTGCCTTTCTGTGCCCGCTCCTCCACGTAGAGCTGCATCTAAAAGGACCCGTTTCCCAACGGGAATCTTGCATTTATCGAGCGCTCGAGACGGGCTCCCTTTGCAAGCAGGATTTGGGTTCTGCTGGGCACGCGGGGCAGAGGCCGGAAGGGTCGAAGCCCGCTTCCCGCCCGCTGGGAAGCTGCCTTGAGGGGACTCCAGCTGCCAAATCCAGGGATCCTTGGGCATTCGGGAGACCGGGGGGAGGTGGAACGGCTCTGCCCTTTTGCTGCCTGGCAGCTGTGCAAACCACAAAGTGCTGGGGGGGGTCAGTGGGCAAAGGAGCTGCCAGCTCCTGGCTGGAGGTGGGCAGGGCCAGAAAAGGGACTTTGCCATCCTGTGGCTGCTGGTTGGGGTTGGAGGCGTTGTGTGGATCCAAAGAATCGCGACGGAGTCAGCAAACTGACCAACCGCCAGTCTGTGGTGCCAATGCAAGCAGGGGGACTGTTGGGGGGCTACGTTGTCAGCCCCCTCACCCCCTTCCAGACAGCAACAGCGCTGGGGGTCCATAGCTTCGACCTGTAGAGCAGCTGCCCCCTAGTGGTCAAAGGGAAGAACTGCAGGCCACCTGCCTGGGATCATGATACACCCTATACACTCTGGGGTATAGAAGGAGCAAGAAGCAAGAGACCTCAGTTGGAGCAAACCTTCAGTGCCTGCTTCTCCAGGTCCATCAAAGCCGACCTGTGGCAGTGCTGCCATCGGGGGGGCCGTGGGTGGGTG